CTCCGGGATATTAGGAGAGGTGGGTGATGAAATCTGCATTTTAGTGTCACCAGTCACAGTCAAAAGTTTGCCTTATATTTACATAATATGTAAAAGATTGCTTTAAGCACACTGAACTTTGAAAAGATTCAAAGAAAGTGTAAATCTGCCAACAGTGTCAGCATGATGTGGAACGAGCTTATCAATTAATTGGTATTGAAAGAATCTGCTGAAACAGCTGCAGTCACCTCTGGAGCTCGGCGTTGCGATTTAAACTGTCGGCTATCTTGCGCAGATGTTCTACCACTTCTTTGATTTGTGGATCCTGTTGTTCATCTGACCTTCCTCCCAACTCCTCAGAAGTCACGTGTCGACTGGGCTCCTCTGCGTTTATATGTGCAATCACATACCTGTAGACAAAAAACACCCACAAAGATTCTCCTCAGTAAACTTCAAACAACACCAAATCACAGCAGCGGTCACCTCAAGGCGCTTTATTGTAGGTTAAAGACCCTGCAATAACACAGAAAAAACAGGAAACCCCACAATCAGAAGATCCACTATGAGCAAAAAAAAAAAAAAAATCCCTTTTAACATGGAGAACCTCTGGCAGAACCAGGCTCAGGGAGGGGCAGCCATCTATTAGGGGGCTGCATCACAGGAAGTAGAGCAGGTCATTTACTAATCAGATGGTTGGTGGTTCAATCCCTGGCTGTTCCACTCTGATACAAATATCCTTGGGCAAGACACCCAACCCCAAGTTGTTGTTAGAAAGCACGTCAGCATTATAAAAAGTGCTTGTATGAATCACTGAGTGCTCAGGTGGAAAAGAAAAGCCAGTTCATTTGTCATTTACCATCTGCTGTGACCAGCTGGACATGCAGATCTATATAGAGAAAGTACCATGATCATTTTTTTTAAGTTTTGTCTGCAAAATAAACGACAAGCTCGATGTAAAACCTATGATCAGTGTTGTGATTTTAGTTCAGACCAAACAACCTCTGCTGTCAGCCCAGTACTCTACAGTCTATTCACACGTACAGTGCACATCCTGAAAAGGTCATGCTGATTGGAGCAGGCAAAGACGCACAGACTTCAAAGGAGTATAACAGGAATGACTGCTCGCCCACTGGGTCCCTGCTGTCTTGCAACCTAATAGACTCCAATTTGTGCATGTAAATGGAGAGTCCTCTTCACACACTGAGGTTAATTATGGAGTTCCACAGGGTTCAGTGCTAGGACCAA